CACACACACACACACACACACACACACACACACATCCCTCTCTCAAAAGGCTCAGATACTGGGTGCCACTTTCTGAACTAATGACAGCCTGCTGTGTGTGTGTGTGTGTACACACTCATGCATATACATATACACACATACACATCCATCCATGTATATGCAGATGCATACACACACACACATACATACACATACACACATGCACATCCATCCATCTATATACATATACATATATATATTATATATATACATACATACACACACATGCACATCCATCCATCCATGTATATACAGATACATATATACACATACACACATGCACATCCATCCATCCATGTATTTACAGATACACACACATGCACATCCATCCATCCATCCATCCATCCATCCATCCAGCCTTTCATTCTTTCTTGCTAATCTACAAAGGTGCATTGCTACCCTGCCTTCTGACTAACTTTAGACTCATACTACCTCTCTCCCACCTCAACCTGGGATAGATCAGTTATATTAATCCAGGGGACAAGTTCTTAGATGCCTGAGCAGTGCATGAAAAAGAAACAGATAATTGCACAAACCATCCGAGTTCCTGACCAGCAAGAAAACCCGTGCCTGCCCAAATTTCTGTTTGGGGCATGCAGCCACTTGTTTGTGAAGGCATGCACTCCCTGCTCTGGTACAGGCTTGCAGGTATGACATAGGCACCTGGATGAGAACATTTGCCTTTAAAGAGAGAAAGAGGCCCTCCATAGCCACAACTGCAATCACTGTTTGCAGTAGCATTCATATTAGCCAGCAGCTTTCTAGGCATTCAGGCAGGGGCAGCCCATTCCCAGAGGAGCTCCTAGATTAGAAACAGAGCTTGCAAGTGCTGGAGGGGCAGAGGCAGGACTGTACCCACTCAGCACAACTCGGCTGAACAATGTAGGGTCTCATTATTCCAGCCTGAGACCCAGGCTTTTTAAAAGCTGGAAAGTGTAAACAGCTACAAAGAAGAAAAATACCTCCTAGAAAGGACCAGCCTTTCAATTTAGAAGGAAAATGCTGATTTCTGTTTGTGGTCGCGCTCTCAGTTGGATAAGGCATGGAGCGCAATTTCACGCATTAGACCACGTTATGAAGAGAGCACAGTTTTGAGTGGCTGCAATCAGTTAGCTGCTCACATGCATTAACCTTCAAACAACACCCACACAGCCTGAAAAAAATCCCTTCCCATTTCCCAAAAGGCCATGCAAGGAGGATTGCTTTAGCCAAGTGTTTTCGAGCGCTGGTGTTTGTCTGTGATCACACCAGCCACCCTGCCATCACCAGTGAGGAAAGCAAGGCAAGTGTCTACTGACTTCACAGATCTGAAAACCAAAAAAGAAAGAGCATCTAGACTGATTTCCTACATAAAATCACTGGCAAGGATTTCACCCAGCAATTCGCGTGTCTAGCCCAACAGCCTGTGGCTGGACCTGCGTGCATCTTTGAGAAAGATGTTCCATCTAGAGGCAAGGACCAGCAGCGCTAGAGAGCTTGCAACATCCCTTAGTGATCTTTCCCAATGGGTGGCCACCCATTACCGAGTGCTTTTTGTCACAGTAGGACTTCAGTGAAGTCAGAGAATCAACCCTGTGATACACACAGCTTATTTCACCTGCCAACCACTGGGTCGTGTTTGGCCTTTAGCTAGTAGATCCGACTTCTTTTCCCTCGGTGAGGAACTGTCGACCACCACCAAGTGGTTTTTCTAACCTTTCCTTCTATAACCAAATAGACTGAGCCATTAAGTTTGCAAAACATCCCATATTCAAGATGTATTGCCTGTGTTTGCCAAGGGGTCAAACCACAGGAGCAGAACAGCCCTACCTGGCCTTCAAATCTGCACCCAATCACGCAAACACCCAGAACAGGCGAATTAAATACCTTGGACCGAGTGTTACCTTTATTCTGTCGATGTTGGCCTCCATCTTCAGCTGTTCCACCAGTTTCCTGGCTTGCGCTATGCTGGCGGTGTTGTTGCTAGCCATCTGAGGCAGGGCTGTGCTTGTCAGACGTGCTGCAGAAACAAAGTGAATTAAGCAAGCGCACCAGGGAATTCAATGGGATCAGCTGCATGTTCCTCAGGGCCACGAAATCTAATAAAGGTTGCTGCAATTAACCCAGGTGGCAACGCCTCAGCCAAGCTGGAGATGGCCTCCATCAACTTTTGTGTGATTAAACAGCCTCGGAAAGATACAAACCCGCATGTAGTATCGCTGCTACAATCCTGACAATTGCTTGCAATGCTGACCCCAGGTAGAAGGAAGGAAAAAGGGTCCCAGAGTCAGAAACACTATCCCAGTGGGACAAGAGCAATGGCTTGAGACCTTTAGAAATACATGCAGCGAGGCCTCTGGCATACAGGTGACAGACTGGGCGTTTTTCACAGGAGGACTTCAGGGAAGTCAGAGAATCACACAGAAATTGGGCTGGAAGGGACTTCTGGAGGTCATCCAGTCCAACCCGTGTTCAAGGCAAGGACCATCCCTGCCTAAAAACCATCCCCAGACGAGTGTGTGTCCAACTCGGGGTGGGCAGTTATTTTGGGCGGAGGGCATCTTACTGAGTTTTGGCAAGCCATCGAGGGTTGCATGACAGGCAGCCAGGGGCAGATAAATATTAATTTTCTTAATTTTTTAGGGGACCCGCAGGCTGGATAGAATGGCCTGACGGGTTGCATCTGGCCCGCGGGCCGCATTTTGCCCACCCGTGATCTAACCTGTTCATAACTGGATGAACAACCATTGCGTGCAGCTCCCAGGCACAATGCCCCAAGGCACCAAGGACACCCTAACCTGTCACAGGTAACGCAGAGGGATGAGGGGAACAACGTTAAGCCTTGTTTAAAAAAAAGAGGGGAAAAAGATCAGGTTCACAGTTTGCTTCCTTACATTCAGGGTCTGGGGTTGAAGGGAGAGGGGCCTGCCCTGAGTTTTTTCCAGCTCTTACTGCACATAGTCACCAGGGCTATAAGTACCAGGGTGTTCTCAGTGGGGGCCAACCTTTTTGCAAAAATTACCCCTACCCCTGAGCGCCACTCCGGTGCCCGTCCCCTTTCCAATGTGCTGCTCTGCTTTCTACTTCCTCCGTTTTGCTCCCTGCCCAATCTGCTGCTCTGCTTTCCGCTCCCTGCCCTACCTGCTGCGTGCACCGTGGAGGCTGCCTGTGCATCTGGGCTGCTGACTGGGTGCCCTGCCCCAGACCCTGCTATGCTTCGCTTAGCTATAATAAGTGCTGGGATCCTGTTCATTTGGCTAAGACGGCTGGCTTCAGAACAACAACGCTGTCACCAGCTTGCTTCGGCATTTGGGGTGTGAGCTAGCTGGCTTCCAACGAGCAACTCAGTCACTTGCTCATTAGGATTTTAATTTCCAGGTGGGTATGAAAAAGAACGAGAGAGAGAGAGAGAGAGAGAGAGAGAGAGCACGCAAGCGAGAGATCACGGTTACTGCAGAGGTATTTTCTCCGCCATTCCCTTTCCAATCAAAAGACCTGACACTATAATTATGGTCAGAGTAGGAACAAGCTTTTCCTCTACCCTTTAAACAAAAAACTTAAAAAACAAAAAACCCCCCTTTTGGTTCCAGTATTAGGCCACAGTGGACAGATGCTTTCAGCAAGTTTCCTGCTCCACTCTTTCACGCTAGTGTCAGTCAACTTAGGCTCATTACACTGGCCCTCCAATGCCAAGGCTGATCACAATGCTTGGGAAGGAACGTGCCCCCGGGAATGTGAGCATCCAGTTATAAACAAGCTGATTTCTACGGGCAGAGGCTGTGCCCTTGCCCAGGGATGCGTTAACAAAGCGACCAGTGAGCGGCTCGATGCAAAACAGGATACGGGAGCTTCCTGTTTCTTTAGACACTTTTACAAAGAGGCAAGCTGCCGGTGTGCGTTTGGTTACCCACTCGACTTGGTCTCCAGGAGATTTTCAAGCGCTACCAGGCTCAGTCAACAGTGGGCAGAAAGACACAGCGCCCGTATCCTCCAGCAAGAGCCTCACTGAAGCTCGCTTAGCACTTGTCAAGGGAGGAGATATAAATCGGTGCGGGGCTCTTTCAGTGTCAGTGCGCTGTGCTACCAGCATCTCATTTTGCTGGTGACTAGGCATCAAGAAGGGGAGATGCATCTTCCCCTTGGCCTTGGGGATGCAGCTGTTGTGTCCTCACTTCCTCCATCCCTGGCTTTCCCCACAGACACTGTCCTCGGGAGGCTAGAGCAGTACTTCCCCCATGACAGGTTACAAGCGCCAGGGAGGCCCGGATTCCCTCGAGCCCACAGTTAACGGGGGCAGGTGCTGCAGCTGGTCCCCACTGCATTTCCTTTTCCCCACAGAAGCTAAACCTGGGCGCTTCAGGTTAGTGACTGCCCCAGGCACAAAGGGAGCTGCCTCAGAGCAGCTGAGATGCAGACGTGTCCCAGCCCCTGTCCAATGCAGGTGCACGGACAGTTACCCCCGAAGGGGGTTGTAAAAGATGCTACGTCTAAGTCGGGTTGTGACAGGAGCCAAGTGGAAATCCCAAGGCTTGAGGGAAGCTGCTCTCTGCTCAGGCTCTGACTGGCTGTCTCCGTGGCTTTTCTTTGCAGGAAACAGAGGAATTTCCTCCCAACAGTGCACCCTAGGGTGTTTCAAACTGGTCACTGACAGCACCCCAGTTTCAAGAGTGCCAATGCCTGGGGGAGCTTGAGTCGTAGAGAAGCAAGGCTGGAAGGGACCTCAGGAGATCATCTAGCCTAAGCAGGGAATCAAACCTGCAACCTTGGTGTCATGAGCACCATGCACTAACTAAGCTAAATGGCTGCTCCTTCAACCATTAATTCAGGGACTCAACTCAGGACCTAGACAGCAGTATGAGGCCACTGCCAGGCCAAGACTAGCTTGAAATAGCCAGCTACCAAGGTAGGCAAAGAAAACTCGAGCCATGGTGTGATGCTCTCACTGCGAAGCACCCCATGAAAAGCCTTCCTGGTCCCCGCACCATGGCCAGGTGATCGGTTGTACTTACAATTCAGTAACAAAGTGGGTGATGCCCAAGAGTCTTTTCAGCAATTTGCTTCTCGAGTGGGAGTTGGTTGCCTGCCAATCTTCAACAGTCACTGCCTTCAAGGGAGGGAAAGAGAAGGGGAGAGAGGAGGAAACAGTGTTAGACCAGCATCATGTCAACATGGGTGTCACTGAATGAATGCATGGGGAATTTTACATGCAGTATGAGGAAACATGCAGTGTGTCTGGCAGGGGAGGGCAGCCTGAAACGGCAGTGCTCAAGGACAGGTAGTACAGCAGGGTTTCACTAGGATCACAGAACAAGGGAGTTGGACGGGACCTCAGGGTCATCCAGTCCAAACCCCTGCTGCAAGCAGGACCAGCCCCAACCGCATCATTCCAGCCAACGCTTTGTCTAGCCGGGTCTCAAACTCCTCCAAGGATGGAGATGCCATCACCTCTCTGGGGAGCCTGCTGCAGCGCTTTACTACCCTCCTAGTGAGAGTTTTCCCTAACATCTAACCTCCACTTCCTTTGCTGCAACTTGAGCCCATTGCTCCTTGTTCTGTCATCAAAGAAGCCACCAAAGAAAGAACTGCGGCGATGAGGCCTGTTTTTACTCTGCAGGAATGGAGGGGCTAAATCAGAAGTTTGCAGATGTTGCATGGGGTACCGACAAGCCCCCCTTCATTGCGTCCCCGTTCTCACTTAGCCATGCACGGTTTAACCATCCCCGGTTATGAGCAACTAGTCCTATGCGGCATTCAAATCTGCTCCCCTGGGAGGGCAGTTACATCCTCCTGCACCATCCGTGCAAGACTGGTGAAGTCACTGGGGTGGGGAGCTGTTGCAAGAGGAAAGACATGAAACCCATGGTTCAGATGATGCAGTGCTCTCATTCTGCACCCATTCATTCACCACTGCGGGCACGACGCAGCCAAGAGAGCAAGCAGGACTGGCCTCAGGTGGGAGAGCTGGCCTGACTCACCGCTCCTTCCTACGGCCACCCCAAACTCCTGCCGTTCAAACCACGTTGCCTGTAGCAACTCATCACACATCCTGTGTTGTATAAACATACCCCCAAGTTTGCGCATGCACACATGCACTTCTATAGCAACACTAGACAGAGGACAGCACTGAGATCTGACCTCCAGCACATCTTCAACATGTCCTATATATACTTACATGAGCTGCTGGCTTTCTCTCCAACAACTTGCCAAGGTTTTTGGGAGGTTCTTGAAGAGGCTCTTGAAGAACTTGAAGAGGTGCTTGGGGAAATAAGCCTTCTACATACAAATGCACTCACAGCTTTACCCTTTCGGTGCTTCCTTGCTCATGGAGTAAGAACTGCTCATTATCTGTCTCCTTTGTAGGTTTAGGATCCAATGTCAAGAGCGGCCGACATGCTAGAAGGCATCCTCACTGCTGCCGAGACGCTCCACGGCGCAGAAGATATTGTTCATTCTGGCTAAACTACGCTGCTGCTTTGTGGTTAACCAAGAGCAGCTGTGATTGGAGAATGGCACCAGCAAGAATCAGAGGGGAAGTAGCCAGCTTTCCTTTTTGCCTCCCTGTATGATCACGTAACCTTTAGACTCGCCTCTAAAACCCGCCTGCTGCAGGGCAGAATGCACTAGGCAAAGGATGAGTTTTCACAGCACTGTTTGGTGGCTGGACCCAGGCTTGTTTAGGACATTCAACGCTGTCTGGTGTGTGCCTGTAGCTGCAGCTTCGTTAAGAGAAGCTCTTTACAGCTCCGTTAGCGCTCATCAGCTATGCTAATATTTGAATGTTGCATTCCCCGCTTGGAGACATCAGTGTGGTGGGGGGAGTGATGTCTGCCTATCCAGTGGAGTAGGATTTGTATCTTGATTGGTTTTTGAATTACAGCAGTGCCTAGAGGCCCCAGGGACTGGCTCCCTTTAATGTTCATGGGACAAACACCTAGCAGGAGGCAGTTCCTGTCCAGGAGAATTTGCCGTCCAAAAACCCAAAATAGGCTAGAGGAGAGGAAGAGGCACAGAGACAGCAAGGGATGTGACCAAGGACACCCACCTGGTCTGTGTTGGAGCAGAAGCCTAGCTGGCTGACTCCCAGTCCAGCACCCTAGACACTAGGCTACATGACCTACCAATCACACTGCGCTGCTCAGCAGCCTAGTGCTAACGCATACACAGGCAGGGCATTGCCGAATGAACTGCTTCTGGCAGGGACCCAAGGCAACTTCAGTGGCACTTCCGCATGCTTGTGGGATCAGGTCTTCACCCATGGGCAGAAGCTCTCTGCAGCTGTGAGCTTCCTTGCTCACATGAATGCTTTTGGAAAGTTTTGACACTGTGCACCCGGACCACGTTCAAGTGGTGCTCCTCGTGTTCAGCAACACACGTGTCCTTGACTTGGCCTACATGCCATGCCACAAGGAATTAAATGCACTTCCCCTGCCACACAACCCTGTAACTACAGAGAAGAGCACAGAGGGACTCACAACCAGGCTTGTGAGGGTGAGACGCAACACTGATGCAGGACTACAAAGGACAGCTTAAAACAGAGCAAACCAGCAGACAAGTGCCCGTGTCTGAGCTGCCTTCAAGTTAGGAAGAAGTGTGTGTGTGCATGTGTGTGCGTGTGCATGTGGGTGTGTGTGTGCATGTGCAGGGGAGGGGAATGGAGGAAGGAAGGGAAGGAAACAAGTGCATCCCTTCCACCTCGCGGAGACCTGCTCTGTTTCTCTCACTCACAGAAGGATCCCAGTGGCTCAGACCCTCACAAGCTGCTCACTCATCCCCCCCAAGGCAACATGTCCTCCTTACCAGGGGCAGCCTCCTCCCTTTCTATCCAGTTCCCTTTTGGCAGGTCCCACCAGACTTGTCCTTGTTTCAGGCTAGCTCAACAACCCCTTGCTGCCCAGGCCATCTACCTGCATATACCTTAACCCAGGCCAGAGTGAGGTCAGAAGAAAAGAGAGACTCCACCACAACTTCCCTTGGCAGCTTGCTCCACTGCCCTACTGTGCACACCCTTCAGACGCTCCTCTGGAGATCTGACTTTAGCAAATGCCTCTTTCTCCTCATTTGCTTTTATTTATTTTTTTCCCTTCCACTTCCTTCAGAAACACACATATGGGACACGCCGTCCGCAGCAGGATGGCGTGAAGGCCCCGCCGCTGCAAACACACACTTCCGTGCCACCAGGAAGGAACCCACTGCGAGGATGGTGGGAAAGCCCGGCCTGCGTGTAAGTGCCTGCTGGTCAAGGTAAGCGCATGCCAAAGTGTTTGTAGGCCTGGGACCTCTAGTTGCAAAGTGGATCAGAGAAGAGCACAGGGCTTGGACCCGACGATCTCACGAGGTCCCTTCCAGCCCTAAACTTCTATGAATTTGCAAATTCTGGGACCAGACAAGCGATGTTTTCCACTTAGCTGCATTGCATATTTACTCCTTTTTCTGCCCTTTCTGAATACGCCGCTACAGATAAGTTGCTACGAGACACTTGACTTTTGCCCTTCCTTATTGATTTCCTTAAGAAAACAGCAGTACACAGGCAAATTGCTGCTGTGCCTCTCCCATTGGAGTCAGCTTAGTCACCCAAGGGTACGATAAGTAGAGTTTGACTTGTAGGAGGCATTCCCCCCCATCTGAAAAACATAAAAGAGTGTGATCAAGAAAGATCCTTTTGTGTAGTGTGCAAGAGCTGTTCAGGGCTGCGTGAATGCCGTTTCTGATTTGATGGCATGTCAAAAGTCCTTGCCTTCAATCTGAAGCTCTCCTCCCCACTTCCGGCTGTCCGCCCCCAACCACTCCTCTTGAAATGCCGTTTGTCCATGATGTGCCGAGGCAGATAAGCTGCAGGGAGAGATTGCCACTGCCCAGCAGGGAGAAGCAGTCCAGCCAGAAACGGGGGGCTCACGCAGGAGGATGGGGGTATTTTTATACCCAGGATGATGACATCTCCCGTAATGCAATGCGACGGTGCACACAGAAGTGGGAATGAACGTAGGCGTGACACAAAATACACTCTTCTTATTCCAAAAATCAACCTGTTCTCATGGCAAACCTGTACTTGAGCAAAACCTTGTTTTCCCAACGGGTCAATACTTCAAAATCCCCCTTCCAGCCCTCACTGGAAGGGCACAGATATCTGCTTCGGTCTGGACACAACGTCCATTGGTATTTTGGATGCAAACGTATTTTTAGGGCCCCGACCATGTATATTTTTCACGGTGGTTTTCTATTACTGATCCAACTTATGGGGGGTGTGGAAGGAGCCAGGGTAACAAATATAACACTCAGTAGACGTGTACTTCTGTGAGGCCCTTTCCACCTGAAAAACATGGGAGGGAAGACAGGCCACTAGGCAGGTGGAGAAACTCCACCCAACACAGATGCTGGCTTTCTCTCCGATCAAACCTTTAAAGCTTCCTTCCTGGAGACAGAGGACATTTATATTTCAGCATCATTATACAATGCACTGCTGGTCCAACCTCACCCCAAAGACACTGAAGGCATCCAAAATGATGTTGCTCATTGTGGGGAAACCCTGGGCGGCCCACATGTCCTTCTGCAGCAGGGGCTACCACTTTGCAGAG